GTTTAAACGGATTAAACCCTAAACCATCCCCAACAGACTCTGACTTCTTCGACTGCCTCATTGTCTTAGCCATCCTAGGCTTAAGCCTCGAACTTTTGGCGCACTTTTCTGAAACGAAAGAACAATTGAATCCGTCACTAGTTGAAGACGCAAGGTTGGAACTTCCAAATGAAGAAGTCGAAGCAGCTGCGAGATGACGCTCTGGGTACTGCCTCGTATCGTTCTGGATATTCGGGGTTGCAGGGAAGACATTAGATAAGGTGATCGGAGATATAAAAGCGCAATCCCTCGCCGCGCGCGACATCGCCGCTATCGGCCAATTGGTATATTCAGCTCACGCCGAAATGGGAAACTAGGGTTTACCCTGTAGTTGACGTGACAAATAAATGTCTGCCCAGTAAGAGAGGAAGCAAGATTCCGGGAATGAACGGAAAAGGTTGATTTTTGAGGTGTATTTCGAGTAGTTCACCGTCTGGTAAAATGGGGAACGAAAAGAGTGGAGGGTAAGAGAAGCAGGTGGGAGTGATCGACTTTGAATCAGTTGAAACGGGCAAAATATATGTTCTGGTTTGGAGTTGGGAGGGAAAATGAGAAAATCTTCCTGATAGGGGGTAGGGGTGGGATTTTGGTACCGGGAACCGTAGAACCGATTGGAACCGAACCGTTAACAACATCTAGGAACCGAACCGTTAACAATTAATGCCTCATTTGTAGGAACCGAACCGAATCAGGTTATAACGGTTCGGTTCCCGGTTCCTATAAAAAATATGTGCATGGAACCGTTAAGGAACCGTTATTAAAAAAAATAAAAAATAAAATAATATTAGTAGTAGTTGTAGTAACAACAACAATAATAATAATATAATAGCAATAATAACCACCGCCACAACAACAATAATAATAAAACAATATAAGATATTTAACTAACAGTTCTAATTTAGTCAACGGAAAAGAAGTAATAAATATTGTACATGAGGTTGATATAATACATTAAACTTCTTTCTACAAATCAAGTTTTGTTCCATCACATAAATTTTATAAATATAAAATAACTCAAATAACTTGTAGTTGATTGCACATATTTTACTTTACTATTTTCATGATATTTCTAATTACTAGATTTATTATGAATCAATAGAATGTAATAATGTTTTTTTATATCTATACATGCAAACTTTATGTCTTTTTTTATGTTTTGAAAGACTTGAAGTAGGCGTCCTATTCTTGCTACTATGATGACGAGTAACATTCATCGCTCCGACACTACAACGATTTTTAATGTTTCATTTATTACATGAAAATTTAAATCACTTTTGTTCTATTAAGTGTTCAAAGTAAATTAGTTAAGTTTGAGCTTTGATGTTTGAAGTAATTAGAGTTTCAAATAAAATTTTAATACTCGTGTTTTGAATTTTCGACGTGTTTAAAATTATGTGTTAATTCTTAGATGAGAAAAAATTATTCTATGAACCGGTAAAAGGAAGAACCGAACCGTTTACTACCGGTTCGGTTCCATAACGGTTCTTGATTTTTTATATAGGAACCGAACCGATTTAATTAGTTAAAACTTTTATAACGGTTCCACTTATTTTGAGAAAGAACCGAACCGGTCCCGGCCCTAATAGGGGGTAATCGTCAAATGAAAATTACACTCCTTGATTGTTGCTTGAATACATACTTGACGAAGGTTTAGGGGGAATTAGGGTGTTTGGATGTGATTATCAAAATTGATTCTGCTCCTTCAGGGAGCAGAAGCAGAAGTTGGAATGTTTGGATGAAATTCCAGAAGCACTTTTGGTGCTCTAAATTACTCCCAGAATCAGTTTTTTTAGAAGCTGGGGTATCAGTTTCTGAAAACTGATTCTGATTCTGCTTCTTAAAAAAAGAAACAGAAGCAGAATCAGTTTCAAACACCCCCTTAAACTCCATCCAATCCCAATTTTGTGGATTGTGTTGGATGACACATTTTTCAAAAGTAAATAGTAGTGGTAATAAATAATGTAGAAAAAGTTGGAAAGATAATGGAAAAGTATGAAAAGGAAAATAAAAAGTAGAAAAAGTAAGGGTAGTTGAGTATTTTTAAAGGAAAAAACTTACCAAAAATGAAAAAGTATAGCAAATTTTTGAATACGTCCAAAAAAGGAAAGTGTAGCAAACAAAAAAATCCGGAGGGAGTAATTTTGTTCGATTCAGGTTTTGAATTGGGTACTCTATCTTCATTATTTTCTATCTTCATTATTTTTAGAACTTTGAGTAGTTGCACTTTTAATTTCAAATTTGTAGTTGTTTGACTTATTTCTCCTTTTAAATTAATGACTTATTGACTATATTTATATTTTGGGGTGCACAAGTCTATATGAGATAAAATATGAACTTATTTCTAAGTATCTTGAAAATGTAAAATGATTCAATGCCATGAATGAGTAGATGTCAGAAGATAGTAATTTTTTTCAAAAAAAAAAATTATATTTTTAATATTTATAAATACACCTTTGTAACTGTTAATATTTATTAATACATCCTCATAACTTTTAATATTTATAAATATGACCCCACATTCGTATCCTACTTTTTTTTTTGTCGTGCCCCGTACCCGTTTCCGTGTTTCCGCGTACCTGTATCGGTGCTACATAGGACTTTAGGATTAATATTTACAATAGTTAGAGATATACTCCGTACTACTTTCGTCACGTTGGAAGGTTCTCATAGAAAAACGGCATGGTTATTAGACAATAATTAAATAAAATACTTCGAGTATATTTTGAGAAATCATTTTAATACGTGTTGTTGGGATATGGGGCTTCGTCCCAGTATCCGGCCCAGAATAGATAAGGGCCCAAGGAAGAAAACAGGCCCGAAGGGGAACTTGGTCCAGACTTATGAGATCTCGAACGGTTAATCAGTCACCCAAGGGGGGACGCCATTCGGCAGGACCCGAACGGCCTAATTATCATACTTGGAGCAAGTAACAAACATAGCTCTGTCCACCATCCTGGGGAGTCCAGATACCGATCGGGGAGTCCTCAAGTGGCAAACTGCATTAAATGCTAAAGTATGACGATAGCAAGTGGGGGATGGGTGCACAAGTGGCCAAGAAAGCAACCAACCAGATTCGGCCACTTCATCACCTACACCTACCTCCCTTCTAGTATAAATAGGTGCATTAATTTAATTGTAAAGAATTAGCATTTTGATACTCAAAAGCCCTAGATTATCTCTTTTGTCCTTGTATTAACCACGCTACCAAAACGTCGTTCTGCCTTTTCTGTGTAATCGTTGGTATTACCTTAATACAAGCAGGTTTTTGAGTGCATCTTATTCACATTTTATATTTTATACACCTTTTGCACTTAATGAGCGTCCTTAATATCCAAATTTGGTGTTGGGCTTTCGGATCTGCGGGACTAAACCTCAACATGTATATATTATAATGTATTAGTATTGATAAATGTGATGTTAAAATTGTACTACATATTAGTTTTAATATTTAATAATTAATTTGTCACTTAAGAGTGTTAATTGTTTCCTAAAATGTAAATGGGAACCTTTATATGGGACGTCCAAAAAGGGAAAATGTGAACCTTCTAATGCGACAAAAGGAGTATCTTTTTTAAATAAGCTATCAAATAAAAGTATATTGAAAAAATATTTTCATTAAACCTTTTCTCCTATTTTCTCCAACCAAACACAAATTTTCATCAAAAATCATTCCTTCCCCTTTCCTTCCCTCCTTGACCCTCCCCTCCTTTGAACCAAACAAGGCCTTATACGAATCAAATAATTTATGTTCGATTCATATTTCGAATTTGTAGAAGTCTATTTGAATTCAGAAAATTCAAATACAAATGCAAATAAAAATACTAAGTTTGATTCGAATGGTTATTAAATACAAATAAGAATATTAGGATATTTGATTTGAATGTTAATCAAATATATTCAATTAAATAGTGATAATAGCTTAATATGATAATAATATTAGTAACAACAATATAAATTTTTTAAAAACTAGCTATACCTCAAAGTGGATGTCATATGTACTTCTATGATTTACGTGTACATATTCCAAATCCATTTATAATAAATCAGAATCAATATACACAGTAAGAGGTTTAAACGAAACAAATAATTTTGTTTCGGCTCAAACATTATAGGATAACTTCTAATATGTGTTTCTTTGTGTTTATTTCAAAGACATTGAAATAGATTTATGTATATTAATTATAAAATTGATTCACTTTAGTATATTGTGCACAACCTAAAAGGCTAAAAATACATCGATCCATCAAATTTTAAAGAAAAATGTAATGTTGCATTGTTATAATATAGATTTTAAAAACACATATTAAGTCATAGCGTGTATTTATAACATTAAAGTGATATTTGACTACTATTTAAATTATGATCAAACTGATTGGATATTCGTATATGGTTTGTATGGCTAAACGAATACAAATAAAAATCGAAACTAATATTCGTTTCATATTTGAATTCAGATTCGTATTCAAAAAAATAAGCAAATATGAATACAAATAGCATACTATTCGACTCGATTCGGTTCGTTTAAAACTCTAAATCTCTAATGGCATTCGTGGTGTATATTCTTTTTGAAAGAGTCTTGTTGTGTTTTATACTCTTCAATATAATGTGCTTCGAGTCCAAGGTAGAACATGTCTTCATCACTTTGGCATTCAAATTAAGGAAAACAATGCCCATTAGTTTGTACTCTAAAACTTGTGTTTAAGTTCTTCAATGTCCTTAAAGACTATCCTAGATTGCGAAAGTGAACTTCCACGATGCTTAAACAATTCAAAGTACTCCCTCCGTTCTTTATCATCTGTCCCGGTAGCCTTGGGCACGGGTTTTAATAGAAAAATAGTAGGGAAAATGTAGAGTGTGTAGGGTAAATGATAAAGTAGGAAAGAGAGTGTATTAAAAAGAGTAAAGTGGTGATAAAGTGATGATAAAGTAGGAAAGAGAGTATATTAAGAAGAGTAAAGTGATGGTAAAGTAGGAAAGAGAAAGTAGTTTGTAAAAAGTAAGTGGGGTAAAGGTAATAAAAGTGAGGGTATTTTCTCAAAAACTTTCCTTAAAGGGAAAGGAAGACAAATAAAAAAAACATCCCAAAAAGGAATGCGAGACAGATAATAAAGAACGGAGGGAGTATTTGATTATCACCCATACGACAACCTCAAACAAATATAAGGTCAAATTGTTTAGGGCTTTTGTCTTCAATATTACTAATTTTGAATCAATTATAAAAAAAGTGACCACTTTTAAAAAGGGGCAAAAAAATGATCAAAAAGGTCATTTTAATGTCATTCCCAGATTTTAATGTCACTATCCTGTTTTTAATGTCACTAAGGATGTTTTTACTTGGACTGTAATTTGCTGGTCTGGTCTGATCTGGTCTGGTCTGGTCTGAACTGGTCTGGTCTGGTCTAGTAAGGTCTGGTTTCTTTGTATTTTTATAACTATCCAAGTCTGGTCTGGTCTGGTCTGGTCTGAACTGGTCTGGTCTGGACTGGTCTGGTCTGGTCTGGGGCAAATTACAGTCCAAGTAAAAACTTCCTAACACGTCACTGTTGTCACCGCCCGTGTCACTGCCGCTACCGCCCGTGTCACTGTAACCACCGCCCGTGTCACTACGGCCGCCGCCCGTGTCACTGTAGCCGCCGTCGGGGCACCACTACACTACCGGTGACCACCACATGCCACAGTGACGCTCTTAGCACCGCCCAATTACTCCTGTCGCCCACTTATTCTATTGACCACCGCCTAACCCCACCGGCCACATCCACCGGCGACCCCCGGCCGCCACCCTAGCTTCAAACACTGCCCCACCACCAGTCCTTCCACTGCCCCCTCCCCTACACCCTTCCCCCTCCCGTGCACCCCTCCCCCCTCCCCTGCTTCCCAATCCCTCTCCCCATCTCTTCCAATCGCCCCCTCCCAGCTTCATAGCCCCGTCCAGCCACCGCAGTCCCCTTCCCCTGCTTCCCCGCCCCCTAGCTTCCCAACCCCATCCCAGCCTATCTGCCCCAATGCCGCCCACTGCCGCCGCCACAAGACCCCAGCGCCGCTGCCACATGACTTCAGCGCCGCCCAGCAACTCGCAACAGCCCTAAAAATCACCTTCCTGCCTCGCCCAAGCCAAAGCAGCCCCGACAACCACCAGATCTAAAACAGGGAGGCAGAATGAGATCGATTAAGCAACGAAGATGACAATTCACAGCAAAGGAGGAGGAGGAGGTATTACGCAGCGCAGATGAAGAAGGCGACTCACCGTAATCTAAAATAGGGCGGCTACGGCGGCGGAATTGCCACGGCCACGACCTTGGCAGCCGGCGGAGGCGACACAGTGAGCCGGTGGAGACAAGAGGCGGAGCGGTCGTCCTTGCTGGGAGCGGAGGCGAGATGGATGTGCTGCTCTGAGGTGGGGAGATGAACAGCTTGGGATATGGAGAATTGGGACGGAAATTTGGAGACGGGAGTGCTGCTGTTAACTTTGGAGACGGAAATTTAGGCGGCCGAACAATGTTACGAGATTCCAACTCACATTTTTGTGAATCCCTAAACTAATCACATTTTTGTCTAATGAAACCCTACAACTAATATTTAGGCCATTGTTTCAATTGTTTACTCAGACGTCACCATTACATAATCCAATGTAGTAATATAAAGAAAATACGAAATTATTCAAAATAACAATAAAACATAAACAATGTTTCAAAACACGAGTAAATATATGCATCTGGCCCCAAGTTTTTCATATTCAATCAAAATTCCAAGCATATGTCTACACCTAGGGGGTACGCTTTTATATATTTTCATATAAAAAAAGTGAAAAACTAAAATAATCTTTCAAAATAGCCTATCGGTTTACTTATGTAACAACGACCTCATTGTCTTGGGATGTACGGAGTATGCAACTACAATAACATCAATTCAAGAAGAATTACTACGTATTTATCATTTCAATCAGTTCAATTCCAAGCAACTTATCTATTGAACTCGGACCTATATATCCCCCTATTCACCCTTAAGAAACATATAAAACCTCAAATTAAACCATAAACTCATAGGAGAATAAACATTTTGTACTTAAATACCAATGAACTAGAGAAGGAAGAGATATAGTATCGCAATTGGTTCAACTTCAACATTCAAATTGAGCACCTTGAAAATGATACAAGTGTACATTGTAATAAAGAAGCATAGTTGAGTTTAAGATCCATAGCGATGAAGTCCATGTGTTTTGAATCGTAGGAATGGTGAAATCTCCAGGAGGAAATGACATGGAAATATTATTACTTAATAATGCTAGGAAGGAAGTTGAATCATTTTACTCACATATTAATATGTATAACTCCGGCCAATTGAATACGGAGTATGTTTTCTCAATTAGTATCGTAATACTCAATTATTTCATATGATGGTGTATTGGTGTGCCAAAAAAATTTGTTATATATGGAGTATGTAATATACTGCTCCATAGTTTTTTACACACGTGATGCATGATTAAGTAAATGTCCAATGTGATACAGTAAACCATATTGAAATAGATGAAATTTTTCTTTGATATGTTTACATGATATTATGTGTTCACAGACTATATCAATAGTCTCAGTCAAAATACCGGATTCAAATTCCAAAATTTAACCAAAAACAGAAATTAAGAAATGAACACACGATATGTTGACGCAGTTCGGATAAATCCTACTCTGCGGGGTTTCAACAGGGGAAACCCGGTCCCAAGAATCCACTAGCTCAGATCAGTTTGATTACACAGATGGTTGCAAAGCAAGGCACGAAATTAACAGATCTAACACACAAGAATCAGCCAAACACAAGCACACGAATAAAATAAGAGAAGGAACAGAAATAACCGGACGAAACCAACAAAACCCAGGAGTTATCAGATTCTTGAAGTCGAACCAACTGCTCTGGATCTAAGTTTCTTCACACGATTTACTCCTTGCCTTCCTCAGCTTATTCTGGCTTCAAGTGGTATCAGATCAGGAAAAAGGAACCAGAGGTTTCTCTCTCAATGATCGCACAAGCTCTCGAATGGAATTGCCTCTCAGACTTAGGGTTTTTGGAATGACGCAGAAGATGATTCCAGACGGGTAAAGAGACGCCTTTATAGGCGAATCAAATGAGCTGGATCAAATAAGGAGAACCGGACTGGACCAAGGAAATAATCAGGCCCAAACTCAAGAAATAAACTGAAACGGGCCAGACCTAATTAAATTTCCTAACCTTGCTTTACCTTCCTATCTATGTACTAAACATCATATTAAAGATAACTAGAATTAGGATTACAAATATAACAATTTGCCCTCCTAAGACTAATTCCGATGCAGCACAGCTCCTAAGAGCATACTTTCATCATTGCCAGCTTTAGGATTCTTTGGACCAGATAACACCATTTCATCATCAACCCAAATAAGTACCCTCACGATCAAGGTACTTCAAAGATCTTGAAGAACTGCCTGCAAAACAAAAACTTAGCAGTAGGAACAATTTTAGTGCCAAAGTCAGCAGGATTAAAATCTCCAGTAATCTTATCAATTTTAATGTTACCTTTAGAAATCTCATCCCTAATGTAATGAAATCTAACATCAATGTGTTTAGATTTTTCATGATACATAGGGTCTTTGCACAGATATATAGCACTTTGGCTATCAGAGAAGACAGTAGGAACAACATTTGTCCCTAACACTTCACCCACTAAACCTTTTAACCATTTTGCCTCTTTGATAGCCTCAGTAGCTGCAATATATTCAGCCTCTGTAGTAGACAAAGCTACTATAGATTGCAATTGAGATTTCCAAGATATACAGTTACCAGCCCAAGTAAAGAACCAAGAAGTAGTTGACTTCCTTGAGTCTTTACATCCAGCATAATCAGAATCAACAAAACCTTTCAGATCATATGAATCAGCACTAGAGTATTTCAGACCTAGGTGTTTAGTACCAGACAAATATCTTAGAGTATATTTCATAGCAGTCCAATGTTTGGTCCTAGGATCAGACATAAATCTGCTAAGTATGCTAACAGCAAAAGCAAGATCAGGTCTAGTGCAAAGCATAGCATACATGAGAGAACCAGAAGCAACATCATAGGGAATCTTAGCCATTTTCTCAGATTCTTCTAAAGGCATAGGATAGGGGTCTCTAGAGAGTTCTAAATGCCCTCCTAAGGGTAAGGGGGTTGATTTAGAATCATTCATATTAAACCTATCCAAGATTTTAGTCAAATAATCACCCTGAGACAGAAACATGCTTCTATTGGATCTATCCCTAGTAATGTCAATGCCCAGAATTCTCTTAGCTGAGCCAATATCCTTCATGTCAAAATGCAATTTAAGATCATCCTTAACACTAATAATCAGCATTTTACAAGGACCAATTAAGAGAATGTCATCAACATACAGCAGGATATAAACGGCATTATCAGTTCCAACATGTTTATAATACAAACAAGTATCATATTTACTCCTTAAAAAACCAAGTTCACTCATGCAGGAATCAAACTTCAAATTCCATTGTCTAGGAGACTGTTTAAGTCCATATATTGACTTTTTAAGAAGACAAACATGTTCAGGAAATTCTTTATCAATAAAGCCAGGAGGTTGAGACATAAAAATGGTTTCATTTAAGTCTCCATGCAGAAAAGCAGTTTTAACATCCATTTGTTCCAATTCCCAGTCAAAGACAGTGGTAACAGCCAACATCAATCTCAAAGTTTTGAATTTTATAACAGGTGCAAAGATATCTTGGTAGTCAATCCCTTCTTTTTGTCTAAAACCTTTAGCAACCAGCCTGGCCTTAAACTTGGGATGTTCAGTAGGATCAAGACTATCTTTTAACCTAAAAATCCACCTACAATCGATTACTTTAGCATTTTTTGGTTTAGGAACTAAAATCCAAGTTTTATTTGAAAACATGGATTGAAGTTCTTCCTGCATGGCTTTCATCCACTCATTAGACTTAGAACATTTCATGGCCTGTTCAAAATTATCAGGAACTAGGTGTTTAACCATTTCAGCAGCAATCAACACAAATTCAGCAAGGTTAGAGAAATATCTCTTATTTGGAATAATAGTTCTAGGTTCTCTATCTCTAACCAATTGATAATCAGCCAAATTTGGTATATCATTATTGTCAGTGTCATTATTATTAACATGCAGATTATCAGCAACAGTAGTATCAGTTTGTTCATTCGCAAAGGGAGTATGAGAACCAGAAATACCACTTTGTGAGTTTGAATTCACTACTGCCTGCTCACCTCCATTGAGGTTATCTTGTTGATCTGTCTCTTGCTCTGAATAATCATTTTCAGTATTGTGGAAAATTCCACTTAGGTCTTCTTTATTCAAAGAGTCCTCAATATCCAAAGATTCAAAGAAATTTCCATTAGAAGCATCTGCAGACTTACTCAATGCAGCATCAGTTCTTTTAAGTGGAAAATTACATTCATTGAAAGTAACATCTCTGGATACAATACACTTATGAGCCCCTGGTTGTAAAACCAATAGCTTATAGCCTTTAATTCCATCAGGATAGCCTAACATCACACATTTTAAGGCCCTAGGTTGTAATTTACCTTGAGAAACATGGGCATAAGCAGCACACCCAAAAGGTCTTAAATGAGAAATGTTAGGCTTAACTCCAGACCACATTTCCTGTGGAGTTTTAAAACTGATCACAGAAGATGGGGATCTGTTGATGAGGTATGAAGCAGTAGTCACTGCTTCTCCCCACAGGGAATTACCAAGGCCTGAACTGATGAGCATACACCTTGCCTTTTCAAGCAAGGTCCTGTTCATCCTTTCAGCAGTGCCATTTTGCTGAGGGGTTCCAGGGACAGTAAGCAACCTCTTTATCCCTTCATTTTTGCAAAAAACATTGAATTCATTGTTGCAAAACTCAAGACCATTATCAGTTTTCAAAGCTTTCAGTTTAAAGTTGGATTGAGACTCAACCATAACTTTCCAGTTTTTAAAACTCTCAAAGGTTTCATCCTTAGTTTTTAATAAGAAAACCCACACCTTTCTAGAAAAATGATCAACTAGAGATAGAAAGTATTTCCTACCTCCAGTTGTGCTTACTTTAGAGGGTCCCCACAAATCAGAATGAACCAATTCCAATGGGGTAGAAGCAACATAAGATGATTGTTCAAAAGGATGTCTAGTTTTCTTACCAAAAACACAGTTTTCACAAAAAACAAGATTCTCAGGTTGGAAGTCTAACAAACCAGTTTTAAACAGCTTATTCAGACCCACATTCCCAATGTGACCCAATCTATTATGCCATATTTCAGTTTGTTTTTGAGTGGCACTATTAGCAACAGAAGCAACTAAGTTAAGTTCAGGGGAGCAATCAACAAGATAAAGGCCCCCACACTTATTGGCTTTAATAAGGTCATTCCCATTTCTGGAAACAACCTTATTTCCAATCTGAGTGCTAATAGTGCAGCCCAAATCATCAAAAACAGATTCAGACAGTAGGTTCCTTCTCAGGAAGGGAACCCACCTAACATTCTGAACAACCCTGACTACTCCATCAAACATCCTCAGCGGAACATTACCAACACCTTTGATATCAAGAGTAGTATTGTCTCCTAACATG